AATCTGCAGAAACACTGCCAATTATTGTTGATGACATGAATGCTGAGATAGTTAAACCGTAAGTCTTAATTTATTATAAGTTACATTAAATCCAATGTAGATTTTTATTATTAATTTGTGTAGACTAATATTAATTTTCATCAAATTTTATTTATTTAACCCTGTAAGGCCCAGTGTTCAATTAAGTACATTCACTTTGAACTTTTCCCAAATACTATTTATATTGACATAGTAGTGACTCTGTTTGTATAATATTCTATTCATACTTACTAGTTGCAATTAGAATTGTTCCAACTTAAAAAATAATAACATTCTCACTAAAAATAAGCTATCATGATGATTTGCAGAGCAAATTCACTAACACTTGATTTTGTGTAACATGTTATTCATTTTGTATTGAAAATATATACATATTGAAAATATCTAAACAATTAGTAATTTCTTATTTTTTAAAGTACAAGATTGATTTATCATGTTTATTATTAATTTAAATATTTAATTGTAATTCTGTAGGAATGCTGGAGTGTATATATAAATATGAATGTGTACATGATTATGTATATCTTCAAAAGAACAATTTTATTTGATACATAAAATTCTTCATCAGGAATATTTGTAAAGATTATATTGTAAAAAAAATTTTACTCAAACAGAATCGGTATCTGAGCCTTAAAGAGTTAAAGAAACTATCGATATTTTTATATAAAATAAAGTTTGTAGAATATGCAACATATTGCACACTAAGGTACATTAACATAATATATTTTAATTCTTCAATCTTGTATTTTATTTAATTTTTACTATTTGTTTCTATTAGAATAATAAATCTTTTCTCAATATCTAATATGAATTTGAACTTGTTACAGAAGTACATCCAAGCGTACAAAACAGGACATGAAATCGTCGGATGATAGCCCAAGGAAAAACAAACTGCGTGCGAAGCTCGCAAAATTGAAAGCACAAAACAAAACGCTCCGCGAAATAATCCGACGACTTCATTTGAAGGCAAAAAAGAAGAACATACGAGACTAAAGAGCCATAGAAACTAACGAAAAAGAAATTTTAAAAAAATTAGGTCGTAAGTTATTACTACACAAGCTTTAATAAAATATTAGCGATACAAATTGATGCACAATGCAAAAACAAATGTGGCAGAAGATATGATCGTGATTTAAAAAAATTCACTTTGTCATTGTATTTCTTAAGTCCAAGAAGTTATAAGGAACTGAAAAAAACAATTGCCTTCAATATGTTCTCTACAATTATTTACACAAAAGTGCAATATTATGCCTGGTATAAATGATAAACTTTTTGAAGCACTTAAAATAAAATTGAATACATTACCATTAATGGAGCGCCATTGCGTATTATGCGCAAATGAAATGAGTTTGAAAAATTATTTATTTTATAATATTTCGCGAGATGAAATAATTGATTTTGAAGATTTTGAGAAATAGGAAAATATCTGTATCTGCAAAAAGTATATTAGTTGTAATGTACGTAGCATCGCAGAAAACTGGAGAATTGGAAACTGCCCGTTTGTCATTGCTTTATAGAAACTGCATGTCCTGCTACATTTTTAAAAAATATATTTGACATCATTATAAAATTAAAAAACAATGGTGCTTTCATTTCTGATATGAGTTCAAATTTTATCCAACTGTCCCATATGTTAAATATTTCGGTAGATAATTCAAGTTTTATAGTTGATGGAAAAAGACTTGTTTATATCTTTAACATTCCACATTTATTAAAAGCAACTCGAAACAATTTATTAAAATACAATTTTCAAGTAGATAATAAAATAATTTCGTGGAATTTTCATATCGTAGAGTTTTACAAAAGAGATAGCAAATAATGGATAAAAGCAGCTCCTATATTAACAGATCTCATATAGAATCAAATAATTTTTTAAGAATGAAAGTTAAATATGCTGCACAAATAATTAACAATCATGTAGCAACAGATACGTGTACACAGATGTCTTCTGGTGCTTTTCCAACTGAAGTTGGAACTATAGATTTCATTGATTACTTTGACAAATTATTTGATATATTAAATTGATATATTAAATTATTTGATATATTATTTGATATATTAAATTTATCCAATATCAATAATTCTAAAGAATATTGAAGTTTTTAAAGGTGATAAAATAAACAAATGCAATTTTTACAAAACATATTGAATTTTTAAAAATCTATTAAAGTAATTATTACAATAACAATAAATATGTAAAACTAAAATGCTTAGATTGCTGGCAGATCACAATTAAAAGTACAATTCAATTTTGGACGACTTTAAAAAATTATAATTTTCCAAACATGCAGATTAAATCAAGAATCAAATCTAGTGTTGAAAATTTTTTTGGTTTCATTCAACAAGGTGATAATGTGCATTAATCCAACACCTATACAGTTTAAGTAATGTGCTAAACAGTGCTAAAAAATTATTTATGAATGAAATTATTAGAACATTTGGAAACGTAAAATTGTGTGAACGATGATTATTGTGATAACGATGATTTATTAAATATTGTCGGAAATACTACAGAGACGTCCACAATTTCTTGTTCCATCGTCAACGAACAAAATTTAAAAAATTCCTGTACATGATTATTATTCAATGAATCTGCCAGAGGAAAATGCATTTAAATATGTTTGTGACTTTTTAGTAAAATAATGTTTAGCAATACATTCATGTGCTGCGTGTCAAAATTTTGTAAATGACACCAAGGTTATCTTAGATAATACAACGCTATATTGTTTTTTTCGAGCTTATGAAAATAAAAATGGAGATTTATTTGATAATTTAAATATATCAGCTAATTATTTTTGTTACTACATTCACAAATTAGAAGAAATATTTGTCAAAACTTTGAAAAAAATGGTTATAAAGAAAATATTGGTAATTATCTGTTCCATTTGATACAAAATGTAGCTTTTGAATCACCATGTTCAGATTTCCCAAAAGATTTCTTAATAAAATTGTTTCTCCGGATACGTATTTATTACACATTATCGCAACATAATAAATCATGTAAAATAATTACTCGAAAGAATAGAAAACTTTTAAACATTTATAATTCTTCTTAATTTGTTGCGTTTTCTATCTACAATCTTGTTTTCATAACATACTAATTGTAATTTATGATTTATGAATTATAATTATTGTATTTATTTTATTGCATTTTTTACAAGTTTCATTGGTTTTCTTCTTCTTTGGTTCATATTGAGATGGATCGAGTAGTTGAGATATGATTCAAGAAAAGTTGGACAATGAACTGTATTTTTCATTTTATTATTATATATTTCATGGAATGAACTGTTATGTGTACGTTACTATATTTTATATCTTTCCTCAACTCCATTTCTTATTATGTTTATTAATTGCATGCTTTGTTTACTTTCAAAGTAAAGTGCATAATTACACTATATTTACTAATTGAACGTTTTATTATATACATGTATTATAAATATGTTTTATTTACTTCCAAATTGCATTATATTATAATTTATACATTGTAATACTTTCAAAATATTTTTTTAATTGCATATATATTATTTTTATTATGCATTATTTATTGTTCGTATTTATTCTTCACAATAATGTTGTTATGTACATATTATTTTAATTTTAATTTTAAATGTATGTTTTATAACGTTTCATAACATTTTTATAGCATATATTTACAATTATGTAATATTTGAATATTTCTCTATATAAATATTTGTTTTATATTTTATTATGTTTAATTTTATATGCATGTGTTGTAAATATGTTTGCTTGTGTTGTATTTGCCAGATATTTAATTAATTTATATTTTATTAAAGTTTTTATATGTTACAAGGATGAAGAACAAGGATGACAAATCAACAATTTCGGTCAATGATGCTTGTGGCTATTACATGCGCCATAAATTTCACACATACATATTAAACACACACTTACATATTAAACATGGAATTTATTAAAAATAAAATAAAGAAATGGAAATATACAAAAAATAAAATATCTCTTGATTCTTTTTTTTAATAAAACATTCCCTTTTAATATTTTAACATGCAGTGCTTTGTATATATATATATTATATGTCTTAGTATAATTATTAAAATTATTTTAATATATTGTATTAATAAATATATATCTTTTCTATATAAAATAT